TCCTTCCTTCCTTCCTTCTTTCTTTCCTCCCTCCCTCCCTCCCTCCCTCCCTTCCTTTTTCCCCCCTCCCTCCCTTCCTTCTTTCCTCTCTCCTTCCTCCTTCCCTTCCCCTTTTTCTCCCTCCCTCCTCCTCTTCCCCTTTTTACTTCTTTCCTCCTCTCCCCCTTTTCCTTCGTTTCTTCATCCTACCTTTCCCCCTTTTTCCTTCCTTCTTTCCCCTTTCCTTCTTTCTTTCCTCCTCTTTTCTTTCCTTACTCCTTCCCTCCCTCCTTTTTCCTTCCTCCCTCCCTTCTCCCTCTCCTTCCCCCTGTCTTTCCTTCCTTCCTTCCTTCCTTCCTTCCTTCCTTCCTTCCTTCCTTCCTTCCTTCCTTCCTTCCTTCCTTCCTTCTTTCTTTCTTTCTTTCTTTCTTTCTTTCTTTCTTGATCAAAAGATAGAACCCTCCATTCAGATGCCTGCTCCCAGGCTGCCCATTTTCCTCTTATCCACCTCTCTTCCTTTTTGGTCTTAAAAACAGCCACTCTTATTTCATTTGGAAATCAAATTGCTTGCGCTGAGTTCCATCAAATCAGGGCTCTGGGTATAAAAGGCCCCATGCTGGGTCCTTCAATTGGCTGGCTCAAATGAATAATCCAGTTCTAATCCGCCTGCCTTTTATCAGCCTAGTTCAGAAGTTTCCCAGTGTTGGAATTAACTCTGAAATTCAGAAGTTGGGTGAGGGAGTTTTCTGCTCTTAGATCAGCGTTCCCCAAACGTAGCCATTTTAAGACAGGTGGACTTCAGCTCCCAGAATACCCCATGCTGGCTGAGGAATTCTGGGAATCGAAATCTGTTATGATATTTAAATTTAGTAGCTGGAGCACTGAAGAGTTGTACAGCGAGCCAGAACACAATTATAGCTGATTGGTTGAAGAGTGCTGGTTCCTGCCTCCTGCATGAGGCAATCTGCGCTGTGATTGGTTGCTGGGGGTGTGGAGGGGGAGTTTCCCTTTTTTCCCGCTTTTTTTTTTGTGTGTGTGCGCCCTG